CCGTTAGAGATTGGATAGATTTTGTATTAAAAATCGATATTTTGGTGGACAAATTACTACTAATCTTCAAGAAGCTTTCGAACCCGTATTATCAAAAAGAATTTACTTTTATCTGAATAAGGAGAATACAAACAAAAGTTTAAAAAAGATGAAGAAATCATTCCTAAAAAACTAGATGAGGTAAAAAAAGTAATCTGTCAATAGAGCTTCGTCAAACGTAGACGAACATAGCAGAGGAAGTAGATGGCACAAGAGAATACGGCGAGAGCAAGAGGATTAATCCAAATCTGCCAAGTTGGTTCGAAAACTATTCCTTTTGATATGAGAAAGTCATTCCCATTTACACTGAAAGTAAGGATAAACTTGATCTGTTAGTTAAATGTTTTAAGTAGAATGTATCATTTTTACGCATTTTACCAGGTAGTCCTGCTGAGGTTGCCATGACTGAACGGACTAGTGAGAAACTTTGGATTGATATTTATTGACGTGGGACAGTATGTAGCTCCTTGGATCTCATTGATAGACAATGAGGAGTAGGTATACCAGAATATTGATAGGTAACGACACCACCCTAACCACCATGCCGATACCACGTTCAAGAGAAAACCACCGAAAGACTAAATAGAAAGGAAGTAAGAGAGAGAGAGAGAGAGAGTAAGGTAGCTACAATTTACCATCATGAATGAAAGAATGATTCCAGCGATAGCGTAGCCAAGAGAGACGTGATCGACTAGGATGATGCTGAACATAGTTATGCCTGCAGCCGCGGTGCCCATACAGAGACAGGTTATTTCAAAGAAGAACATGGCTGCGAAGGACCTCCGCAAGCCGGTCATGGCGTAGAGAATTGGGAAGAAGAAGAGAATCGGACCTAGCTTTATTGGGATCACTTCACACAACAACTTTGCGAGGAAGTACACCGAGGTTCGGTAGAATCCGCAGGCGCGTTCGTGTCTGTAAAAAAATACATCAAATTATCATTACTTATGGTACTTTTAGCTTTTAAACCAGCAAATGGTAGCGCTTTTGAAGAGTTATTCGATTAGGGGAATACAACGCCGATAATCCCATGTATGGGATGATTGAGGTCTCGCTCCAATATCGTGAGGCAACCATTCACAAATACCAAGTTATCAGGCTGAAAACCAAATTCGAATTTGGTAATTATTGAAAATTAATGTCTTGAGAGATTATTTAACAGCTAGTTTTCAGTTCAAAATTGTTTTACTTTTATATGCTATGAACCAGAGATCAGTGTGATTAATGATAGAATGGTGGTGATACAATAAGAGCTTCCAACAGGGGTTCCAGAATGCCATTCCTCTGACCAAGATGAGTTCAGATAACTCATTTTCGTCAATCTGATCTAAATGTGTATGTGTAAATCAAGATTCGTCGGCCTCTAAATCTGTAGCTGGTCCATTTAACTCCATGAGGGCATTGCAACTACAAATCTTGCTGTTATTCGCAAATCAGACTAACTATCATCCCTAGGAGATTCGTGTCATTAGTTCTCAGTTTCCAGCCAATTGAAACAGGTTTCTCCCCATCCCCCCCCCCACCCCACCCCCCACCCCCACTATTTACGTAGGAAATGGCTCTAGTCTGTAAGTTGTTTATCGATTCTACAATCACAATCTAACTCCCTTACATTGATCTCTACTCTGCTATTTAAAACTTAAAAGAATAAAGTGACTTAGCAAGTTTTCGATTGGATAGAAATGATGGAATTTTATCCTAGATAGGTTGAATTAACAATTTAATGTTTGTGGCCCCTAAATTTTGTATATATTTATTAGCGTTTGCTAAATCGTGGGATCGTTGTCTTGCCGTTAAGGGCAATTTCTAGGGGTTTGTGCCTAGTTTGGAAGCTTGACCTCCTAAGCCGCATCCTTTATCCTATGCACTTATTGGGAACCTCGATTTCCAATTAAGCTTCGTTCCTTATAAATAGTGCCGATGGGACCGAATGCCACAACTATGGTCATCTCCAACACCATCAACCATCAATTTCAACTAACTTTACATCATTCGCTGGCTTAGCGCCATTGGCATCATAAACGCTATTTCACTCTATGACAACATTACAACTTCTTGGTCCCAAAAGGGAATCTGGTGATTCGCTTTATGTGGGCATTTAATTTTTTAAATATGCCAACCTGAATTGAGATCGATCACGAATGAAGATATCCACTGCATTGCCATTGAAGTATGCCAATTCGAGACAAAGGAAAAAGAAAAGACCAGTTCGATCTTGGAGACCTGATTCACTAGACGAGCCCAATCGGAAGTAGACTGTTCCAAGAATCATCGTGAAAACAGCCACCCCGACGAAAGGTACTGCAGTAACTCTGGGATTTCTAAAATTAAGCCGCCAAAAATAAGTCGCTATTTAATAAAACAAACAGGGTTCACTTTGGGGAAACAATAGATGGCTTTGCTGTCGTTAAGAAAGTAAAACATTCAATCTGTTACCAATTAGCCACTATTTGACAGTCAGATGGCACGACGAACTAACTCATCCTTCGTTCATGAAAACGTGACTCAGCAGCATCAACGCCTAATAGTCTTCAGAACTCCAAAGCTCCAATCAAATACCTCAAGCACAGATCTCTCTGCCCATTTTCGTAAATTTACAAAAAATTTAATAAAAGGTAAGCCTTTCCTCCTTCTTCCCTGTTTTGTGACCATTTGAAATAACAAGATCTTTAAACAAAGTGCTGTCCCATAGGACGGAATAATGCGGTATCCTGTCCCTTTCAACTACAGCTACCGAGTGGAGGTGTATGAGAGCATCATAAAAGATCCAGATACCAGCTACTTTAAAGACAACGTAACCCCAAAGCACGTCGATAAGCCAGTAATCTCAATGCCAACATACAAAGTAGACCAATAAGAAAGTCGATGTGACAATTGATTAAACTAAGACAGATTACTCAAAGTCGTGCTAGACGCTCACAGCATGGTGTTGTGACCATGCTGGCAAAATGGACGCTTCCTCTCACTTTGTGTACTCTCTGTGCGTCATGGTCCTTATTTCCATCGTTCGCATATCATGGAGACTTTATGCCCTTTCATTTCAATTTGTCACTACAGCAGACTGATGCCGCTGATGTGATGAGTTTTAGTGGCAACAGGCAAAGGCTATTGATGTTTTGAACATGTTTTAAATGCCAACAGCGCCCTCTGTTACGAGTCTAATACCGATGGGGTTTATTTTGAAAGAGAATTTTGCGGTCTTAAGGGCGTTAAAGAGTTTAAATAATGAACAAAAAGCCTTTGGCGTCATCGCCGAATGTCTTCATTGCCAATGACGTCTTTCTTTTCCGACACTAGGTCTGGTTTGATCGCTAAGATCAAGGCGGTCACTAATGTAATAAGGTGGAAAATTGCACTCCCTGATTCACCCTTATTTAACGAATTTCATAATTAAGCTTTAACAAAAGGCAATTACGCCTTCATTCCACCCTAAAATTGTACAGGGGCGTAGAAAACAATAATGATTCATCTCAACTCACAACCGAAATTAAATTAATTATGAGGAGTAACAGATTTATCTCACCTTATAGTATTCAAAAATCCACGAGATGCGAGAACAGCAAATTGACGATAGGAAGGAATGGGATCGAGGTTGTTGAAAATTCCTTTTTCCAAATCGAATTCACGTCTCTCGCTTAATTCTGAGGGCGATTTCCGCGAGTTGGCGTAGAAGACAAAGGCATCATCAGAAAGGGAGGATAAATCGATTCGGGGAATACTATGGATGTCTTGGTCACCAGATGGTGACAGTGTGGTATTGATGGTAGAACTCCTGAAAAAAAAAATAAATGTATACGTATAAGAGCAAATGTCACGACCTTTAGAATTCGGTTACTAAATATAAGAGAATATTAAATCTACTTAAATTAAACAAGCAGTATCATTAATGTATATTATTATTATTATTTATAATGTACTTGGGGAAATTTGAGCTTGTCATTAAAGGACTCAGTTCCGTTTCACTTCCGCTGACGCTGTGGAATTTCGTGGAAGAACATTCTCGTGACATTTTGGAAGAACGTTTCCGTGTGCTACACCATGATGCGAATATCAGCTGGGCTTCGCTAATCCACCTATAAGGAAAGCGGAAAGATATGGAAAAGATGAGTAATGAGAATTGCCAAATAAACTCAGGCCATTAATCAAATAGCCCACACTATTTGGGACTATTTGATGTGACTTATTCAAGTTGAAACATGTTCGTGAAGGGTCTTCAAGTGCTTCATGCAAATTGTCTTTATTTTACATCCACTTAGGTTTTTATGAGGAGGAGAGGAAACCGTTTTACCTCTCATGCTACTTAAATAGGCATGTCAGAAATACTTATTTAAGGAAAAACCTACATCATATCACAATAAAGAAGAGTAGATTGTTCAAAGGAGAGCCAACAATAAAAAAGGTCAACAACAGGAGGAGGGGGGGTGGGAGAGAAAGAGAGAGAATCAAGGTAAACAAATCAGGGCTAAAGCGACCAATAACGTAGATTCATACCTCTAAGAGAATGGGTCACCATATCAAGGGAATTCGAGGGAATTAATAGGCACCGGGTCCCCAGGATAAAAGTGGCCGTGTAAATGGCGGCGGGTAAATTAATATAACATCTTTCAATACTTCACAAGAGGAATTGAAAGTACTGCCCAAGCACTTCGATAGACAACTCAGCATGTATCAGCATGTTTTAAGAAACTTTTTGCTTTTTCAAGTGTTGTGATTTCCGAAATCGTATTGCTGTTGCTGTACAATAAATAAAAAAATAATTTGTAGATAGAACGGACGACCCGGATGGCCATAAACCTGTGAAAGCGCTCTCGTCCCCCTTTCCTCAGCTGCTCTGCGTATGGAATGAGTGAAGCACTTCCGTTACATAGACTTCGGAGTTCAGGGTGTTATTGAAGAAACTGGTGCCTACGCTACAAACGACCTATAACCTAAATTCGTCTTAGTAATAGACTTTCTCTATAAGATTGAAAATGACATTCTGCAGGTGGATATTCACAACTGCTACTAGCAGGTAACGACGCAACACTGAGCACTACACAGTGAACGCAAAATGACCACTGGGCATCACGTGATCCGCGCAAATGCTCAATACCACTTTAAGTACTATACAGGAGGGCTGGGACCTCATGTCTCTTGACCACACTCTATAATGACTACAATTTTATCAGTAATTTAGAATATTATTACTTATGCAAAAAATGATAACACGAGTGAGCGCTAGCCTGATTATAATACTCGCTTGAGATAACCATAAAAGGCAACTTTGCAGTTGACGGTTTTAGAACAAAATGTGGGCCAACATTTGGTATCTGATAATTGGTGCTATTCAGGGTGCGCGATAGACCTGCCTTCACGTGGTGCACCCTGGCCAATGTATACTCATACGGCAAAAAAAAGTCTATAAACCGGCAGTTGACTTCAAACTACCATGACCCCTCTGTGTGTCATACTCCACAACTTTCACAGTACTCACCTTACCTTTTCTCTACCTTTGTGTTTGTCTATCACTTTTACATCCTTGAATCACCATTCTGTTCTCTCTCTCTCTCTCTCTCTCTCTCTCTCTCGACTTTTTGTCACTTTAATGTTCTTCCTCCTCTCTGTGAAGGGCTAATGATAATTATCAAAACGCCTGCCATTTGAAATAAGTAAAAAAATTGGCCCTATTCAAGAGTGCTCGGTCAAGACCACGTTCAACGTTCACATTCATCGACTTTTGTTTTACTTTTAATAGCTTTGCAATTGACCTCTGCGTGGCACCCCCCCTCCCACTCCCCCTCCTTTTAGGTAACTCACATTATTGGAGGAGATTTAAGTGCTATGGGATTTTAAGCCAATCCTCAGGGCAATTCCTCAGTACCTTAAAGCTGTTAATCGAATAACTAACCCTTATGCTACGTCAAACAGTCCAACCAACATTCTTCTTGTAGATTAATTAATTAATTAATTAATTAATGATTAAAAGTGAATTTGCCCATTTTAAAATCATTCATTTCAAATTTGCCAACCAGTCTTCATTCAGTCCTTTATAATAAATGATATTTGGCCCTACTAATTGTGCCCAAGTTAGAAAAAAATTTAATAGAAAAAAAAGGGGTTCCACTGTCAATTTAAACTTATTCATTTAAGTACTTACGAAGACCATTCCGTGGAGGCTACAAAGAGCTGTTGAAGATGATGGATTCGAGTTAAACTAATAGCTAATCGGCTTATCAAATCAGCGCCTAATATACAAAAGTCGAATTTAATGAAGGACAAATCAAATGTTGTCAAGATTGAGAGATAAATCAATGACATACCTTCTGTGAATTCTACATCATTAGTCTCTTCTGGTTCGCCTTCCAAGGGAAGTCCTAATCGACTTTTAGCCTCAAATGGAAGTTCTTGATGCAACAAATCCATAAAGAAATCCGCAGGATTCTCGTGAGTGCTAATTTTGTAACCTGAAATTAATAGAATTCAACCAATGGAAGAACGAATTACTGTGGTGGGACTTTTGCTTATTTCATTTCTTCGTCAAGTCTTCATTCACTGTCAAAATACTCGATTAAGTTTTTGCTTTATAATCTGTTTGGATGTCCACTCTCCCACTTTTCTTAATTCCTAAGAGAGTGGCAGTGGAAATCCGATAAGCGAGGTCTCAATCCCTCTTCTCTATGCTAAGACTTTAGATCATTCGGAAATTTTTCATTTGTAATAGGCTGGAATTCCCCGCGTTACATTTACTAAATCTCATTTAATGAAAAGCGCGCGCGATGGATAAAGAAACTAAATCAGATGAGTTACTACTGAAAAGTAGCAGTAGGAACGCAACCTCACTACACCTAAAGTTAAGGAATGTTAACATTTGTGTGATAACATTGTCAACTCTTCTCATCTATGTACAATATATGAATTGGACCCTATTTCTTGCTTTCACACATCGTATAGACGCCACAACCCTCCATATCTATAAGCGTTTATTTGCAAAAGTGTACATCGACCACACCTGCTAGAAGGATTTGAGTCCATTCAATAGACTCTTATCGTTAGAAGCTTCCTTTGCTATTGTTTTATTTATCGTCATAAGCTATTTGTTCCCAAAGCATTGATGTTTGCATAACCAGGAGAGGCTTCCAACGCAATTCAGCTGATGAGATGGTCACCTAACAAACCGCTAATTGAAAATCCCGAGACAGCTAATTTCCCACACATTCCAGGCTGACTAAATTGAAGATTGGGGATAAATTGATTACGTCTATGCAAGTTAGGTACGCGATTAGAACTGTGTTTGGAGGTAGCTTGTCATGGCTCTCAATAAATACCACCAAATTAGAGGATTATTTTTCAGGACAAATTCCGTGTTCTAGCTTTAAGACAGAGTAGCTAAACGTGTATCAACTAAAAAACCGCCCCAATCATAATGTGGGTGCCACACCTCACACGTCAACTGAGAAAAGAATTAATAGAAGGCGAGAAACCTGGAAAAGGGGATTTGAATTTTCTTTAGAAATAATTTAGAAAAGGCTCAAACTATTTCTGTGTGACAAAAAAAATTAGCAAAAAAAATCTATTTTCATTTGTAGCCTTCCAACAAAAGCACAGGTTGAGCTCAGAAATGAGGTCATCACTAGGGTCCTTCTTCAAAGCTCATATCTAGGACCAAGGTGGAATAATGGTGAGGAGAAAAAAGTGCGCTAAGATGTTCATTCCTTCTAGCCTGACTGATAATTAAATTATTGATTTTGTAATGCTCAACCAGCGATGTGAGCGACAACTGGAATGGCTAGCTCAGGTCAACAGGGGCAGGGTAGAAAGCGAGTTTCCCAATCCAAGCCAAGCGCTGTGAACACTATCCATAATAAGTTCAAAAATATTTTTTTACTTATTTCAAATGGCAGGCTTTGTGATATTTATCATAAGCCCTTAAACATTGAATTCAGCTTCCCCCAGGGGTGGGGGTACATTTATAGCAGTCAATTAATAGCAGTTCATTAGCCGTCTTCTTGCTTCCCAGTATCTCTGGCTTTCCGTCGTTGTCTTTAGAGCTGGACATCGAATCAGGTAGGTCTTCTCCATTTCCTCATGTAGGGGGTGCGCGATAGACTTACCTCCACGTGGTGCACCCTGGACAACGTATCTTTGTATGGCAAAATAGTCTATCACTCGGCATTTGAATTGACTTCGATTTATTAAGTTCAAAAATATATGACCTCGTAAACAAGTAAGAATGCAGTCTTAAGGTACGTATAAAAGTCGGCGGTAGATCTGACATTTTCCACTACAGTAAAATTTAAAAGAAATGGAAAGGATAGCCGAATGTCAAATAGTACCCTCTATAATGAATAACAATTTCCAACATTTCGAATGTCATGCTGAGAAGGCCAGTATGAATGCCTCCTTAGGAAGATTAAAACTTGACTTTGTTTGCTTATTTAGAAATATAAGAACGCATATACAAAAAGTAATTTAATGGCTTTATACTAAACATAAAGAATGTTCTGGAATATTTAAAAAATAACATCTCATTATGACACATAGAAGCTCAAGTAATTGGCCAATTCTGGTCTCCTGTGAATGCATGCAAGGATAAGGAATTCACAATCATCTCCTTAAATTAATAGTAAATAATAAGCAAATTTTTATTGAACAAGGCAGCATAAATCTCCCCCAATGCGATGGGGAGTTTTGGTATAAATTACGCATGTAAACATACAATTGATTTCATGACCTTGAAATAACGCGCTGTGGAAAAACGATTATTTAAATGTCACTTCAGGCGCTGCAAATTCACAATATGTTTGATTTCTTAATATAGACCCGAATAAGCTTGATTTCATGTTTACAACACTCTGTTGCCATAGGGATTCTGTCAATCAAAGCCTGCTTAATATTCATAATGAGAGTTATGGATAGACAACGAGCAATGAGCAAAAGGATTTCAATCCCAACTACCTTGGGGTACGGTATTGCAATAATGGGCTCTTGAATTGTTTACACTTTTCCCTAAATTTTTACTATTAGTAGCAACTTGCCAATGACGATTCCATTGAGGTAATGACACTTGAGCTATGGAAATCAAGCTTCCATAATTAAAATACATGCTTATTACAAAACTGTTCTATGTAGAATGCTTCTGAATTTCAACCACAATGGAAGGAATCGTACCTAAGTCACAAAAGTATTTCAGTGGGCTGTCACCGGCTGGTCCATGATAGATAGCTCGACCATTACAAAAAAGTGTGATAGAATCGAATAGTTTGTAGATTGACCAGTTCGGTTGGTGGATCGATGCAATAATCGTCCTCCCTTCAACAGTCAACCTACAAAGGAAACCACAACATACTTCTCAATCCATGGCAAATGAGAGAGAGGGAGAGAGAGAGTAAAAATCTAGGCGTCGCCATAAGTTATGACATTGTAGCGGGTGACGGAGTTTTACAGCACTTGATGAAGCTCACATTTTATTAAATGCCCATATAGTTTTATGCAAACTGCATACACACCCTAACCACCATTGATTTAATCCTATTTCAGAGTTTTAATGAACTTCTTTAATAAGCACTGACTAGGCGCGTATTTAATTCCCCAAAACCTTGCACACCATTATAAAAACGGCACATTATGCACATAGATGCATTAGAACAAATTGTTTATTAACTTTTACTTTGTACCCCAAATTAGAAAATTGACAATTTTAGGCCAGAACGAACTGTAGTAGTTTAACTTTTACAAAGATATATTCATTGACTCTACTATAGCATACACAAGCTCACAATGACTAAGTTAGTCAAAAACACCTCTCGCACATTTAAACTTCGGATAGAATTCAATTTATGACAAGGAAAAACTAATTTAGAGAAAACTTTTATCTTCACGACAAGCTTAACAATCCGTTAGAAGGGCAAAGTGAAGATTTTCGTTGAGTCCGAGCAAAGTGCATAGGATTCGCTTATCGTTCCCTGTACAACTAGTATTGAGTTTACGGGCTCACTTCTTTTTTATCTAAATCGATAAAATCAATCCTATTTTCTGAATAAAATAAGTACTGTCTGAGATCCAGGTCTCACCCCGTCCCCCCCCCCCACCCCGGGGCGATACTGCAGTAGCAGCCCATGATTTCAACAAAAAATGTGCGTAAAACTCAAACTCTAGATAAAATCACTTTTCAATTAATATAATTTAATTGAAAGCTCAATTATGTTCATCTTTAATGCAATGACTTACCGTTTGAGGAGTTTAATTAATTTTGAGGCTGTGTAGGTATCCAAACCAGTAGTCGGTTCATCAAGAAATATCACGCATGGGTCGGTTATCAATTCAATACCAATATTTGTCCTTTTTCGTTCACCGCCTGAGATTCCTCGAATGAGCTCTGAACCAACCTGCTCGAAAAAATTGCAGTCTCATTGTAATTTCCCCGAACATGCACTTAGCTAACCAAACATAGACCGCTTCAACGAATTCCACCTATCCTTTGCCAACTATCTACCTTGCTATGAAGAAGAAAATTGGTGACACCTAACTCAAACAGCGGAGAATTAGTTTCACTATAAAGTGGAATTCTTAGAGTATATTCTTAGAAACCTCTAATATAATCCTATAGCCTAATGAAATATCATTTTATCCACTCAATTTGCCCAAAACATCGTAACAGGGAAAAGAAACTTAAATATTTCGAAATGTTTGACTATTTAGCGATGCAAACTCGAGGAGAAGAAAATCAGACGTTTTCTAGAGTGGCATTCAACAGAACCCATTGTTTTTTTCTTCTGCGAAGCCCCTAATGGTAAATGATAGCATAGCGAGGAGGAATATTGTCAATCACGAATTTGTTCAACCTGACGACCTAGATTTCCAGCTATTCTATCCAACTCACTAACTTCAATATCTCAGGGCAACAACCAACTGTTAGAAGGGATGTCCTTCAAACCTCACGCACAATGTGGATATGCGTTAGAATAGGCATCTTTTACAATCCAACTGCCTTGCAATTTACCAAATAAATTGATGCGAAGAGATAAACCATAAACAACCTATAGTTTGCGGACTGACCATCTTTATTTGTGTGGAAAAGATTTCAGGCAACTCTGTGGTAGTGGTGGTGGTGATTTTATATTCATTTACCCTTCTTCCCAGCAAGCAAGTAGACTTGTCCTATATTAACAAAAATAATCTGGCGAATTCAATCTTCAAAAGCAATAATCTGTCCCATCATGTTTCTTATGGACCTGGATCTGGATGGATCCCTAGAACTAAGGCGATCACTGGAACATACCCAGTACAAGTAAAATGTAAAAGAAAATGTACCTTAACATCAGCAACAGCAGAAAGTCCCAACTTCTTAATGAGAGCGGCCACTCGAGCATCCCGCTCCTTTCGTGAGACGCTGGTTGGCAAGCGAAGAGCTGCCGAGAAGTAGAGGTTCTCCCGAACTGTCAAGGACTCCATCGCAAAGTTTTCCTGTAACAGGCGGATATGTCTATAAATCAAGGCTCTCCGCTGTGCTCTATTTTTAAAGAAATCGCCAAGTTTAATACTTTATAAAACTATTCCACCACCAATATAATCAAAACTGGGGTGTGCGATAGACTTACCTCCACGTGATGCACCCTGGGCTACGTATACCCACATACAGCAAAAAAGTCTATTAACCGGCATTTGACTTCTCACTTCAAACTGCCATGACCCCACTGTATTTCATATTTGGCCCCTTCCACAGTCTCATCTTACATTTTCTCTGCCTTTGTCTTTAAAACACTCTTCTGTTCCCCCTCCCCCTAACGACTTCATTTCACTTTGATGTTCCTTCCCTCTGTAGAGCCTGAAGTCAACTAAAGGGCTAATGATGACCATCAAAACGCCTTATATAATCAAAACTACTCGGATCCAAAAGAAAGGGGTAGAGTTTTAGCAGAGTATCGACGTCAGTTAAATCCCATAAACTGAAATTGACTACCTGTTTGAAATAAATAGTCCTGTATTTCAGATATGAGCAGAAGCAAGTTAATTTCGCTTAACATATTCAGACCTTCAACAATTATCCATTGAAAATGGAAATCATACACTAAGGGGACAATTTTCAAATGCCCAACTTAAATCCGGTGGTGGAATTTTCCTTGAATGTGTAATGCTTCCCCCAAGAATCAAACTCATCTTTGCAGACCTGGAAAAGTTCTTAACTCTAGAGTAGCGCTACGTTTGAGGATATCCACGCTAAAATTTTAACAACATTCCCCAATAAAAAAAGAACGGGTGTTAGAACAAACTTCTTGTGAATTAGACGTTCCCAGAGGAATGAGAGGAGAGAGAAAAAGACAAGGAAAGTGTGATTGGAATACACGACAAAACAAAGTGGAATTGTGGGTGAAATTTTTTATAGGGGCTGTCAGGCTATGACGTCTTTTTGAGTCGTTGCTTTGTCTAAATGGACCTGGAACATCATGAGGAGCATTAAAAACTATTTCCCTACCAGTGCAACCCCCCCCCCCCCCCCCCCCCCACCTTCTTCAACATTCCAGCTGCAATGAAACCCTATGGATGTCATTCGATCAACGGTAACATTAAAGACTTGAAGTAAATTTGCTTTTGAAAATGTGGATTAGGTCGAATTATACAAAAGTCGATTGAGTTTATGAATTTCAAACTTTTGAATTCTTAGGGCAAAGTTTAGTAGCAAAAATATAACTCGAATTGGTCAATTGGATAAATTAAGTGACTGCATCGAAGGTTTAGGAATATCATTGAGAAACCTGTGAATGTTTATGCATCAATACGTAATTCTATATCTCTAATAATAAAAATAGTACCACTTCTTGAGTGTCAAGTTGTAACAGCCAAAAAGTGAACCAAAGTGTGTCAGAAAAGACCCTATGAATAAAAGGTGTCACGATTTTTCCTCCTCAAAAGTGAAGAAAAGATCCTAAATATTCAATATAATTATAATATAATATAATATAATTATAAACCCAAAAACAATCATTTTAAAAAACACATTTCGGCAAATATAAGCTTTGGCATAAGAGTAGCAGAATATCTTTATGAAAAAATGTAGGTTGCATGCAGATATCCAATAGTGTTGACACTAATGGCGGCAAATTCATACACAAAAGCACATGAATATCTCATGACTGAAAACTAGAGAAACACAGGAGCAAAGTGTTCAATAAAAAATGTACTTGTTGCCTGTAATTTTGTATTAACTAGATCATGTAATGCATAACTTGCAACACCGAAGATAAAAAAAGGCTTACAAATTTGTATTCTGAGAATTAAGACTAAGACAATATATGTATGGTCTCGACCAATATGATTTACTTAGCCTTAATAAAAATAAATCTAATCAAAATAATGCTGCTCAAATCCTTGATAAGTAAGTGAACTTCACAACGCTCCTTTTAGATGGTGCAAAAGAAGTGAAGTTGAATGTAATAAACAATACCAGTAGTAAGATGAGTAACTACAAAGGGAAGTCTTGACAAGGAGAATCTTCAAACCAATTGTAGAAAAATGGGGAACACAAGTTCAAAATATCGTTTAGTAAAATGAAGTAAAATAATAAAAAAAAACCGAGCTTTAGTGAAATCCAACCTTTACAAAAAAACACAAATGACAAAATATTGTAAGAAACCAGAATGAAATAAAAAATATCAAGATAAAATATTTTATACCTGACTAACATAGCATGAGCACCGTTTGAAATTACTTGGACGTTCGTTTCCATCTACAAAGACATGCCCAGTTGTAAGAGATGGATCCGTTCGGCCGGCCAAGACATCCAAGAAACTGCAAATTAGTTATTTCGTCATTATATTTAATTATAAAAACGGTAAAACAAGGAATTTCCCTCACGTTGTCTTGCCGCAACCAGTAGGACCGACAATGACGTTGAGTCCAGGCTTAAATATCCCTCTGAAAAGATCGAACACAAAAAATACGTCATTCAGACAATATATAATGGAAACCATTAAAGTGTGCACATCTCTAAATTATAATGATAATACTGAAGTTAAATTATTTGTATATTTAAAAATCATTTAAGAATGAAAAATAACAACAATATTTAATAGCGCTTAAGCAGTAAAATAATCTTGATAAATAGCAATTACATGACTAAAATATGCATTACGTACGTTAAATTGTTGAGAATCTTTGTGCGACCCTTAAGAAAAATACCGTATTTGTATGTCCTCGTGTAATATGACACATCGTGGAATGATAAGGATAATCCTGACCTAGGTTGAGATACTAACATAACCTAGCATTAAACCAAATCAAATAAGCTCCGCTTCCTCAGTGAATTTCAACAAATCTAAGTCCACCAACAATCATTTGCCTATATTTACGCTAAAAAGTTTTGTCATTCAAATAAAGTGATTTAATAGGAACTGCTTATTTTATTCAAATTTGCAGTTATATAAAACATTCGTATATATGGCTTAATTATTTAAGCATTGTCACAGTATGTGATAAAATATGGGTATGAATCTCTTTCAACTTCAGTTTAGGCTATATTTAAAAAATTAATGAACTGCATGAATAAAAATGTTCATATTACTTGAAGTTATATAAATATTCACTTTTAAATTCGATTACGTATTTCAATACACCTACTGAATCTCGAAGTTCGGAATTCTTAAGCTTTTTCTGTAGCACAGAATTAATGCTTGTAGGTATTCATGGTTCCCTATAAGTTTGTAATACTAAATGATTGTATCATTAATTTTAATTGTAGTTAAGTTTTAGCTAACCTAAAATAAAAATAATCCGCGCCGCATTTATCATTATTTTTCAGATGGTTAAGTTTTTCTTTCATGAATTAGAGTCTCGTCAAAAAATTTTTAGTTGATGAAAGTTTATTGGTTATTTTATGCGAGTTCTATTTCGCACATATATCTTCAAATAAGGAAAAAATTCGAATATAGCAGCTCATTTCAATTTATAAAACTTTTAGTCGTATATTTACTAACTTGCTTTCAACTTCTCCTCTCATCCTCAACAGATCGAACTTTACATATTTTATTTGTGGCACCTGAATATTATCTTGTTAATATTTACATAGAGTGTAAATATTTGGAACCATGTAAATTTCAATCCATAGCCTTTTCGTGACGCCGTTTGTCTAATTTTAATTGGTAATTATTTTGGATTTTTGGCTAGTGACTAAATTAAATTTCCTACACTTGAAGAGAACCATCCCTTTTTGTTAAGACGGCCCGTAAATCACTCAAATTGACGCCATTTCCGCCTTTATTAATACGTTGCCACATTTAATATAATAATAGAGGGAAGCTTCTTTAACTCCCCTTTGTAGCTGCGTCTTAATATATATGCGGAGTGTGTTCGGCATCCATATGCATTTTCTTGTCCGACAGTCCACAATTCTATTTTGAATAATGGAAACTAGTCTCCACAATAATCTAGAGTCAACTATTAATGTAATATATACGGCTCAAGCTTGGAGTCAATGCGATGACCCTCTCAAAAAAGCCTAGTTAAAATTTTCAACATTTAACCAGCTTAAAAATATGCACAAATAGTTCAAGGCCCAAATATACAATACTTTTACTTGCGCTATATTCACAAAAATTGTTCGTCAAAATAATTCAAATCATTTTCAAAATGAAATGCCTACTTTACGTGTATTTGACAAGAGAAAATAGATAACAATGTACAGATAATCGGCGAATAAAGGATTCTAGAGCGAAAGCGATTGGCCCGACTGGATATCATTAAAATTATTGAAATGCAGCTAGAAAAACATAAACTGCTACTATATATACAAATCACGCACTCCGAGTTCACTCAAAGACCTCGAGAATCCATACTTGCTTGAAGTATTCGAACCTTCTCCAGAATCTTAACCGCTGGTCCAATTTTAATTTTTGTATCAATGAGAAGATTGTAGTTTTTTAGGAGCATCAGGGCACAGCCATCAATTTCATTCTCTCTGAAAATATCCGCTTCTCGTTCGTAATTCCCCTGTTCTCTCAACCAGTCTGCAACTTGATTTGCCGTCCAGTGGCGAACATTCTCTGGTCGAGAGTTGTTAATTTGAGTTTCTGAAATATCATGCTGCGGTGCATCCTCATTTGGCGGGGAAGCTTCATCAACTTCCATTTGCTCTTGACTCTGGATCGTGTTAGTTGATGCTTCTTTTGATGGACTAGCTTTTGTTTCAGACTTATCAGGATGACTTTCTTCAGGAATTTGACCAGTTAATCTAGATATGCAAAAGTTGTGGAATAGAAAGCTTTTATGTGTATTACATGGGTTATTTAACTTAAATAACCATGTTAGCAATGTTTTATGCAATCGAAAACCTATGCATGAAGACACATTTTATTAATTAATTTTTTGTTTTTATGCACCAAATAAGACTTACGGTGCTACTTCAGCAGATGGCGATTTTACAACCTTCGTTCCACCCACAGTTGTTTGAGTATCATCCACTTTTGAAACTGCTACTGATGTTAAACCAACAGTGGGATGTAAAGGAGCTACTCCCGGATTGCTTGAACTAGGTGGTGAAGTTGAATCGATTTCCTGTCGTTCCATTTTCGTTTCATCTTGTTTCACATGATAGCCTAGATCCTGACAACTTGAACAGATCCAAGGTGCTATTTGGTCAACATTTTTTCGATCAGTTACAGCTGGGTTATGGCAAGTGTCATGATAGCCCTTATCACAGGCGTCACAAATCAGCATCGCGTTCTAAAATAACCATAATAGAAGAGAGTTTTTTGCATTAATAGCAAAATTAAACATTTATGGCATCGTAGGAATCGTACCTCCGGTTTTCTAACCTTACAAACACTGCAGGATTTGCAATTTGCGCATTGCCAACTGTTCTGTCTCGCTGTGGCAGTAGTTTCTGGGGAAAAATCCAAGCATTTAGGGTGAGCTGAAATGAAAAAAAAACTACTTACAAACTAAAATTTCGAATTATTAGAGCCTGAACCCCTTTTATGCATATTACCTGACCTTTGGACACTGAGATCTAAGGGTAAGTAATAGGGATCTACATCCGTTATCGGTTTACCAGGAGCTTTAGGGTGAGGTCTGTGCATAAATTCTTTAGGTCTCTGGCCTTTGATAAACATATTCCATATATTGGCTCCTATGGGACATGAACTGCGGAGTAAATGCACCTTAAGGCTTGTGAGGACCACTTGAATATCACGGATGATAATATCTAGAGCCACTTCATTCAGCGGTTCCGGAAGAAAAACCGCTGATGGTAAACAGTTCGTCCAAGATAGGAAGTACTTTTCCGTCAACTTTGTTCGCCTCAACCTAATCACAGTCGGCGAGTTGAAATATCAACTTACATGTTTCGTTTTTGCAGTAATAAGGCATGATAACAAACCAGACACTTCTGATGATTATTTTTTAAGCTATGCTTAATCAGAAGTCCCGAATCTTTACACATGAGCACATGGTCCAAAACAATGAAGAACGCCTTATTTTCTGTGCGTTGCTTGAGAATTTTGTTAAGACCCGTCGGAATAGAGTAAAAGAGGTCAAAGTCGTACACGGACTTTTTGGCTTTGCGAATTTGCACAAATTTGAGACTGTCCCATATGTTAAGTTTAAGTAACTCGACTCCGCTTTGAATGCACAATATCTTCCCGAGAAGGTAAACCAACGTGTAAGTGAGTTGAGAAACAGAAGAGTGGCCAAAAAAGTTCGAATCCCACATATACTCTTCAACTGGAGTACTTTCAGGAGAATAAAAATCATCCAGATTATCCGCCCATTCTTTAAATGTTAGTGGCTTAGGAGGTTGAACAACGTAAGCATGAGGCCTTTGGACGGAAGGAGAAAGAGATCTCATAACAGACAAAGAGTCCTTCAACCCCGTTTGACCTTGACAGCTGCCAACCTCCAGTTTAAGCGACAAACTGACAGCCTGACTGCCCTGAAATGTGCTTACTTTTTCAACACATTTAGGCTCCTTTTCTGAATTTGGACCGATTTTATTCTCCTTACAAATGGACGTTATAACGACGCCATCTCTCTCAAAACAACTTTCTAAATCCTCTCCTCCAAACGATTCGTCTAAGGCGAGCATTAATAAATTTATGAAACGCACGCGATTCTCTTTAATGGACTTCGATCACTTAATTAAACTGTTTACGATCGATTGCAATTTCAAACGGTAAATTTGATCTCTGTTCATGTGAGATCAATTTCACGTTGGCTTTCACCAAACTAGAACCGTACTCTGTATTTTGATCGCAAAATTTCTGAATTTTACCCGTACAGCACTAGTTTTAAGGAAAATTTTAAGCTCACCTTTGATTCCGCAATCTTTGCATATCAAAAATTCATCAACACCGGCTTTTTGTTGACATCTACAGCAGATACCTTCGTTTTTGGGTGGACTAGGAATTTGGCTGGAATCTTCACTGGGCGATGGCTTTATTGCTGTAATAGAAACTCCTGGTTTTTGGCCTTCCTTTGCCAGAGTTGTCACCGTGGTTGTCGCCAGACTAGACGTGGGTCTAACAACAACTATTGATCCAGTAGGAGCAACGCTGTTTGCGACCACTGCATTGGAGGTATTTAAAGTCACTGGCAAAGTTGCACCGGCGGTATCGGCTGGTTGGAATGTAGAACCAACAAGAGAAGTGGTTTCTGGGGTAACCGCGAAGAGAGTTGTGGTAGGATGATTGTAGATACCTGGATACATCATCATCGCAGCTGTAGGAGCTGCACTTGGGCCTCCAGAAACACTGACCTGGGAGGTGACCTGTTGTGCTGGAGTTAATGATAGTGTCTGCATTGGGGTCGCTGATACCATCATAGCGCCATCGATTGGTACAAATGTTGCTGCTTGAGTCGGAGTTACTGGCACAGGCTCCAGCTTCATCCGCTAAAGGAACAGAAATTGCAATAGAATATCAGTACAAAGGGCGTTACAGACACAAATAAGAGGTTTCATTTCACTCAGATAAAGATATTTCTGAATGTTCTTTTGAGAACTTATACTCCGCCACAACTCATATTGACCAGAGTTAACTAGGGCGGTTGGTCACACTGGATAAGTGAGTGAGCTCTGAACTAGCAGACGTTCTCGTTGACCACCGCGCCATTGGTTAGAAGCTAGAGAAAATGTGGTTATGAATGTGTGAGTACGTACGTGCAGACGTTCTGGAGATATAGAAAGCTGCCCTTACACTGGTGACAACCCCCAATTTAATGTCATTAATTCGATTTTAGTGACCAATCATGGTAATAGACAAATCAGAGGAGAATGTAAAAGCGGGTTTCAATATTCTTTTCGCACAACTATATTCTGTATTCCTTATTCTAGAAGAATATCTTTGTGATTCCGAGGTAGAGAAATTGTAACAATCATTCATTTATTATGTCTACAGGTGACCAAGTTGGCCATCAAGCGCTCTTAATTCTGATTCAAGTGGACATACGAGATGTATTGAATTCGAAAAAACTAATAGAATCCAGGTAATTTGTCATTTTGAAAATCAATAAATAGCTATTAAAATCACCAAATGTGTCTATGTTATCCGGTAATGCATACTAATCAATTCCAATAAAGAACTGATCAGTCTAAAATGGTACAAGTGACAAATTGAGCAAAATGAACAAGGAGACTCAACAGATTCAAAGTTTGGAAAGGACCCATTGAAATTAAATGGTTCTGCAATAAAAGTGATCACTTTAATTTAAGGCTCATCTATCTCTGCAATCTCAAAATAATTAATAATTTCGTCTGATTATTTCAAATTATCTCGAGTAGCAAGTTGGCGACACAAACCCTAACGGAGTTTTAAGCCGATCTGATAGCAGTAGAGAATAACTAATAGAAAGTGCACCAATTTAGAATGGGACCAATCTTAGTTCATAAATTAATGGCAACAAAAGTTCATCTTCTAGTATACAAAGATATTAAATGAAGTGAATACATCTTACGCAACTTAATCTGAAGATGCTCTGAAATCACTAACATTTGATAATTTAGCTCCAATTTAAAACACCATGTGTTTTGAGTATGTAATACGTAGCATCTGTTCAAATAACCCACCAAAGAAATTCGGTAATACCAACATTTAATCGACTCAAAATGGCTCAGATTTCTAGCGCTCTATTCCTCTTCACTTCTACAGCTGTGCAGAATGCATTAGTATCTTTCCTGAGGGAGACTATGAGTCACTAAAGGCTGGGGCTCGCTAAGAAAAAAACCAATCTTTCTGCACTCGGAATTCTAATTGAGACAAGACTGAAAAGATAAAGAGGCGGCTACTCACAACACAGGATCCTTTGTTCATGGCAATAACTGCAAATATCCAAAAACGCTTTCCCCAAAAGCAAACCCCAATTCTATTAAAGAATAAAAATTGGAACCTGAATTAACTTGAATTAGCTCGTTAGAAAAAAGCAAACGATTCATTTGTATTTGGGTTAGTCAAGGTGCCATTCGACTACACCAGAATGGTATTAATTTTTAACTCGTCGATACTAAATTAGACCGTCTTCATTGCCCATACTACTGAAATGAGATTAAAGTAGCTAGCAGGTGAGAAAATCGATACACGTCTACCGATATAATCGAGAGATTCATGCGGGAAATTTGTGAATCAAACACACCCAGCATGCACTAAACGAAATCCCATATATATGCAGATGTTCACGAGAGAGGTGAAGTGCAGGAGTGCGTGCGGCAGCAGCAACACTGAATGAAAAACGATGCACGCAGAGGGAGGTGAGTCATTACTACACATACAGACAGGCCGAAGCGCGCTTGCGAGCTCATACCTCGCACCCACGTGCAGTCTAATTGGCCTAGCCAGTAGGGCCGGCACGGAAGAGAAGCATGGAGGGGAGGGGGGGGGACTTGTATGAGGATTTAACTGCAGCTAATAGAGAGATACGCCCCAACACATACACTAAAACACGCAAATCCTAGAGAGACTAGGGTTACCCTTTAACCAATCAGAAGTGAGCTAAAGTCGGTCTTTATGTTTAGCGCTTAACCAACACGCAAATCACCAGGAGCTTAACGCTATCGCTAAGTATCGCGCCAGTAATGAAAATAAACAAAAATTCTGCCGCTTACCTTCTCCAACATATTATCCGATGGTGCGGGGAGGATAGGCTGCTGAGAACAGGAAGTCAGCATCTTCTTATTTTTTATACTTGGCGGACGACCACGTTTTCCAGTCGAAATAGGAGGTCTGCGAGCTAACGGGCGTCCTGGGGTGAGGGAGAACACGTTATAGGGCTTCCCACTGACTGAATCTAAGGCAGGCGCGATAGGAGGTTTCCCAAAAGTACCATTCGCAGCTAGCTTACCAGAGAATGGTCGTCGATTGAAATTAAAAATAATACTGCGATGTTTCTTTTCTCCATTCTCATCTAACACATATCGACCATCGTGCAATTTGGCCAAACCACCATAATTTACTTCCTTGTCTAGAGATATCTTTAGTCCGGATCCAGTTAATTCCGGTGGAAGGGTATTTGCAGATGTACTCGACTCACCTTCTCCTTCGGAATTCTGAGGGGGTTTCTGATTCTTGATAGCCTGTTCAATCTGGAAGAGTGTGAAACTTTGACTCTTATCTCCACCTTCGGGAATTAGGGATCGAACAGCTTCAATCAAGCGTTTGCTAATGGCTGGTTTATTTGCTATTCCAACAGCTGATGCGGCGGTTTTCCGCCATTTTGCAGGATTCCTATAACTTAAATTTCCTTTATAGTCCACACATAATATCGATCCATCTTCAGCTAACCGAGTTAAACAAAGTTGAGTATCCGAGGGTTGAATATTGTGTTGACGACGTAGAAGACACGAAATACGCTCCATATCAGGTCGAGCTTTTCTATCTCGAAGCTTGTCAATAGCTTCCAGGATAAAATCACGGTAAAATTGGGCTTTCTCTAAAGACCCTATATTCGATTCTGGGGCTGAATTTGAATTAGTAACTGTTCCTAAAGGGACAACGGGCTTGACCTCAGGTTTGCACTTAATTGATGGGGCGGTCGAATCAGCCACGCAGTTAACGTTATTGCTAGTATTATTATTGCTATTGTTGTTATTCATACTAACATTCGTTGTTTGAGCGCTGTTAGATGAAGCAATCGATACAACCGCACCATTTTGAAAGATTGGAAGTTGGCCTGAAGAAGAGATACACATATCATTGGTCGCTAGGACAACTGTTGTACCGTTGGATGAATTAGTAACACTGACAGGATGACTAAAGGGCTGGTAACTAATCGGAGTTCCGTTTATAATCGATTGAGGTTGAGTCAGTAACATAGAACCAGTCATATTAAAGGGAAATTGGCCTCCTGGTCCTTGAAAGATGGTTCCTCCATTGGGTGAAGCTATGCATGGAACAACCGAAGTAGGGCCGGAAAAAGGAGATTGAAACGTAGTAAAAGTTGCATTCGAAAAGAAAGGAGTAAAAACAGGGCTAGGTCGGTTCCCGTGTTGACCGGCCATCTGCTGATTCGGGATAATTCCATTGACAGTTAGTAAAGTCGTTGTATTACCGCCACCGCTACCGCTGCCGGAAGGCCCCGCAGAGCCGTTAGACGTTAACATGGCAAGCGCACAAATAAAAGCTTCTATCCGTATGCGCGAGCATTTAACCAACCTAAACGCTAGTTGGGTCACGCCGAAAGGTTTCAACCATTTTGATTGGCTTTCGCCTAGTTTACTCCGTCGATAGCCTATTGCGCGCGAAGCCATGGTTAACCAATCATACTCGAGGCGCTGATATAGACTCTTTCCTGGGTGGCTAGCGAAGTGCGGTAGTGTGGGTGGTTGTATGTCTGTCTCACTAGTTCTCTCTACTAATTATGCGTGCGTGTAACAACGTCCTATAGCTAGAACGCTATGTGAATATGTGTCTGTCTCTCTAAATTGCGTTGACTCTGCGTAGCTTAGTTAGTGCGTGCCTAACTTTCATACGCTAACCTCTACCAGCGCGAAATTCACTTAGGGAATTGCAGCGTGCGATGAAGAAAGGGGACGCACAAAACCGAGCCATTAATTGACAGATATGCTGTATTTTCCGGTGCATTGCGCTTAGCTCAGTCCGTTTATATGCCGTAGTAATTCTTGTGTAAAATTTGCATAAACCTCCTGGGGTACACGTAGTTTTGTCTTCATCATAAATCAAGCCTTTTCGCACTTCTTAACTATAATTCGATGAGGTTAATGGGGCTTAAATAATAACCATTAGTTTTAAGTAAGTCTCAGTGAGATTTGTTTCAAACGCAATTGCTTCAGTATTCGCAAGTTATACAAGTTTCATAAATAACAGTCGAGGTCGTTGTGGTATTTTACTGCTTCTCGGGTCACAACAGTGTCTCATTCGATCTAGTAGGTTTCTGAAATTAGAATTGATACTTCCACCCCAGATGCGAATTATATTTCGAGCCTCACATACTTACGAATTCAGAAATCACACTTATGTCTGACGTCAGTTTATGCACTTTACAAAGTAAGAAAGAAAAAAGAGTATGTATATATTGGTGACTTTTAACGTAAGAGTCACGATATCATCCTTGAGGGTAGCGTTTTAATTCAATCAAACACTTTATCAATGGATAAAAGCGCGTATATTAGCACATAACTGCTGAGCGGCTGTTAATTATTTTTATTGATTTTTCGGTGCGGAAGTGATGTGTAAATGCTCAGCTGATTGTCGCTGCGTGAGGCAATTACGATAACTTCAGCGAGTGGGAGAGATAAATCAATAATTGCATTAAACCTCTCGCTGAGGAATTTGACCTATTGGAAAGGTTATTTAAGTAGGGCCCTATAATTGGCACAATAGGCATCCTTGTTGCGGTGATTACTGCTATTGGGAGAGAGTGTAAATATGCATGCACAAAGAAGCTAAGGGTAGAGAAGTTACGGTACACACAGAGGTGTGTGCAGATACAGGGCTACCGCAAGTGTTTAAAAAAACAAAGTAGGCGCACCAATCTGATTGACATCGGCGCACACGCCTTCATGCGTTTTCGCGCGCGCGCGCGACCGTTTGTGTGATTACCTGCTAAGGCGGAGGAGCCCTGCGTGTATAAAGAAGATGGTGTGTGCATTTGCGAAAAAATATCTGTTTAAACAGGTAGGAAAGTAGCCCAATTATTAATCCTTTTGAACATCTAAGGAAGTTTACAAGCATTCTACTTTTGTGGCTAATAAGCACCTTTGGGGTCTTGGAATTTAAAGAAGTACAAGTGAAGAATGTGTAATTCAAAATTATCCTTATTTGAACCAAAGACCAATCTTGTTTTCGAATTTGCAAAATGTACCAAATTATGTAATAAAATTTATTGTACCTTGATGGAAGCACTAAAAGATGCGGTCAGTGAATTTGCCTTAAAAACTATCTAACCTAATTTTAAATGGATGATAAGGTTTCCCGCTTTAAGGGCTGGTAAAGGGAATACGTAATGCTTTCCCAGTGGTGACCCGTTGCCCGCGAATACGTTGAGCTCACAAGGTCGGAACACATCGGTGTGCAACAAATTATTGAAAATGAATAATGATGCATTTAGAAACATGAACTTCTTAAGTCCAATGATTCTTCTATTCAAACTGAGTAGTTTAAAAAAAGGCTTAGAGATTTTTGTCCCTGTCCAACTTTAGAGAACTTAAAAGTTTTGTTAGTTACCTAATTAAAGCAGATAAATTTCTAACCAAATATGAGGAAAACAACAAATAAGAGTATATTTGAGCCTTAGTAATCCGATTTCATGAAAAATAAAGACACCCAATTCTTCAAACCATTGAGAATTATTTTTCCAAGTAAACTACCTTGCAGCGAATTAAAACTTATAATAATTTGTCAGAGATAAGTTTGTACCGATAGACAATTATTGCCTAAGCTTTAAAATCTAATTATAGATTGAACTACCAATCTGTTTAATAACATGCCAACAAACAAACACCACAATGGAGCAAATCTCTTGTAGTTGGAAAGGCCAAATTAATTAGAAATGCTAGTTTAACCCAGTTAATTTACGTATGTTCATGTTATAAATATAATCAATTTATAGTAGCTAATTCATGTTATCAAACTGCCAGTAACTTTCCTTCAAACCGAAGCCCGCAGAAGGTCAGAAAGTTAAAATCTTTTTACCTCTGTTTGATAGGGAAATAACGAGTTCTATCCTTTCTCTAATTGTGCATCTGAATGAAATTTTCTAAAAGAAAGTGGGACGTGCAAGACGAGGAAACGTTGTAACTCGGTGGCTAACGAAATCCCTAAATTAAAATATGAATGCAAATGTATTTTATCGAGTATTGAACCTTTCTCGCCTCGTAAAGGGAAATGGTAACAACACCTGATGGAATTCTGTCACCAGTTCACTATAAGTTGCCAATTCTGTTGACTTTCCATGACAATGGAACTCTGGGTCTAATTGTGGCTATTGCCATTTTATCATTCTAAACGTCATCTCTGGTTTTAATGAGCGAATATTCTGGCAGTATGGGAGTAAATATAGAAGGCGTACAATTTCTTCAACAATTTCCTTTCCAAGTGTAAGCTTTGAAGGAAATTCTTTCGAAACGTTCTGTAATTAAACGCGGAATTCACTTCCCTCCCTCTCAGATAAACACAATACTAACTTTCAAACTGAAGAATTTCAGAATTTGAATCTCCCAACCGGAAAGCGTCATGATACCACTTTCAACACAAGATGCGCGTTGGAAAGCGCATACTTAGAGGAGTTGGAAAGTTCCGCTTCCTCCCTTTAATCATTGTGAAATATTTCATTTGAACCCCAATTCATATTGACAGAACAAAATGAACGCTGAGCTCACCGCTTCAGTTGCTATTAATTAGCTAATTTCTAGTTATTATCTTTCGAGAAGAACATTCAAATATTTATTTTCAAGAAGTTTTCCTTTGCAAAATTAAGTCCAAAATAAGGGCATTGCTAGGACGATGACAGCGTGGTTTGATTCTCTTCAGCAAACTTCAAAATGCCAAATGTCTAATCCATACAGCTGATTTGTCGGCTTCTTCGACAGGAATTGTGAAATGTTCTTTTCCAATTAACAGAAACACCATTGGCAGATCCTAGAAACTACCACTTTTACCTAAATAGCCCCCAGTCTTAAAAATTTCATGGAAAAGAGGGCAAAATCCTGCCTTAATCAGAAATCATTAACTAAGCGGGATAACTATAAAAGAATTCTTGCGAGTAAACATTGGAGTTGTGCCTTTGCACCCTCTAGAATTAAGGTCAGGCAGTTTAATTGAGGTCAAGTAATTGACCTTGTGTGCCTTTTCCTGTTAGACACCAGGAGGAGTAAACAATTTGGGGGTTACTAAACTCAGATCTGTTCAAAAATAAAATCAAGTTCATTTCAATGTCTATTAGAATTTTAAATTTCCACTTTAGGTAGGAGCATATTGGCGTATTTAAACTAATCGGATGAAAGAAAAATGTCGTCGAGGTGGTTGATTTCATTCCGAAAAATCAAGGAGCAAATTCTCATGTCGGGACATTGAAATATTAAGACGTGAATCTAATTTAGAAAGTGGTCTAATTTCGAAAGTCATTTCTACTTCTACCTGATCACCTCCAGATCAGCCTTCAGCAAAATGAAAATATTTTCAAAAGGGAATCAATTTTTTGTACCTTACATTTAGGAGCGCTGATTAAAGTTCTATGGTAAAATTTTTAGTTTTGAAGACAAGATCATTTTGACAAGTCTATAGCAGTCCTAACATCAAAATGTCGACGTTATTAGGCTGCATATCAGCATTCTCAACGTACTAACAATATCAATAATCATATTTAAAAGAAAACAAAGGAACGAGACTTGCCTTTTCTTCAATATTTGGGTTTCGAATTTCCCCATTTATTTCTGAAAAGTCGATTCTTAGAGGCACCTTCCTTCAATTCATGGACAGTTTTGAAGTTGGAAGGATAAATGCCAATAAACCATACGACAGATCGAGAAATATGATCATTTACACGCTTTTTGTATTAAGTTCAAGTAATAATTCTAATGAAGCAATTATTCTTCCCATAAAAAAATAATACAGCCCCTCTTTGTTCCATTTTTTGACTGCTGTTAGTTATTGAAACCCAAAACCCTAGATAGGTTTTTAAAACCACCTCACCTCACCCCACCCTACCCTACCCCACTCCCAATTTTACTGCCGAACTCATCATTAAATCGATAGTTCTCTTCACCTTTAGCTCTCGTTTAGCCCTGGATGTGTGAATTCCTCTATTATCAAATAAATTCGAAGTGTTAAAAATACGAGTTTTGTCATGTGAATACTTTCTCATGTTCTGCATTCTTATTACCAAAACTGGAATAAAGCGTGAATCACAAACAAATCACGATCATTTCCATATTCGTGCTTACTTCCACCAAAAAATGAATTTGTGAAATTGGTAGGGAGGGGGGGGGGTATTAATTATCCTTTTCTCCCAAAAAAGTGACTTACAGTATCAACTAATCGCCTACATATACTAATTGGTATCAAATGTAGCTTTTAAATTTTCCCGATAGGGGAATAAAAAGTTTAAAATTTCTCTCTTTCTCCGCCCTCCAACTCACCTAAT